CCCCCCCCGCCGCCTGCGCACGCCTCCACCCTGCCCGGCGGGTGATCCAAGGCCTCCGCTGTGGAACAGCCCGTGCGGGCCGCCCACGGCCCGCCTCGGACCCTTCTTTGCCCCGCCCCGCCCTGCCCCGTGTCCCTTCCGCCCCGCTACCGCTCCGGCGGTGTGGGCGGTCGAGGCAGAGGCTACTGCGCCCATGGCAGGTAAGGCAGTGGATTCCTGGAAGCGGAATCTGTCAATGCGCTCCTTCTCAGGTGAGTGACAGGGTTGCCACTATCTTGGAAAACCCCGAAGAATATTTGGTGGGTAAGGAACTTTTCGTTTCTTAAGGAAAAGTCGGGAACTTTTTGTTGTTGAAGCAGAAGTCGGGAATGTTTTGTTGCTTAAGGTAATTTCGGGAATTTTTTGTTGCTTAACGAAAAGTCGGATATTTTTTGTTGATTAGAGAAAAGTTAGAGACGTTGGAACTCAGTGAGAAGTCAGGAAAGTTAGTTCGTCGGGGAACCGACAGAGAATTGTGTTTGACGGATAAATGTAGGTATTGTTGTTGGTAGGAGAAATTATGTTTTATCTTAATATTTTAATTTTGATTTCATGATTTTGTATGACACCAGGGGATTCTGTTTCGCTACATTTTAACAAACCACTTAGGCAAAAATTATGAAGAGTTCAAAAATGCAGAACGTATTTCGAAGTGATATATTTTCCCAAATAAGCATCGAAACAAACTTTTTTAAAATTTTGTAATAGAGCCCAATATTTATAGTAACGGTATAACTAGGCCCATATTTATAATGACGGAAATGTACTCTCATATTGAGTTAAAACGCATTACGTATCACATTTTTTGAAGTACATTGTAAATATCTTGTGCATGTGTTAGGGAATGTATAAAAACGTGATTGAAAAGTGATGTAAAATTAAGGAATTTCATTTTAAGGAAATAGTGGCAACCCTGGATAAACATCTTCCACTGATCATACGACCCGGATTTTTAGGTTTTAAGTAAAAAAAGAATTAATGATTAAAATACTGAGAGTACAAAATGGCGGGAGTTTCGATATTAACGCATGTAACGTATTTTCAATTATTTTAAAAAATAATTCTGAGATAAAATTTTGATTTTTTTCTACACGATTTGAAAAAAAATTAAAATTGTTAGAACCTAAAAGTCCGGGTTTTCATCAGAAGTAATATTCTCACATATCTTAACATAAGGGTTGCCAACTGTCCTCTACTTGGTAGGCTACCCTCTAATCCAAATATTTGACCTCCATTTATAATGGTATCCTTTCCCAATCATGAAATGTATCGTGAAGTTTAGGTAAATAATGAAAGTATAACAACGTATGTACGAAACATTTAACAATAAAAACTGTTAAGGAAACATAACTGTTTATGTTTTATATACTTCCAATATATAGAAATGAACTCAGTCTTCCAATAACATGCAACTCTGGCTGTTTTTGGTAACCAACTGAAGGAACTGATGCTGTGGGATAAATGTGAATTTGCAATACGCACGATAAAGATACACAAACTTTACAGTAATTCCAGCCCGAAAGGGGAAATTATGAATTTCCGCAGTTTATTTGTGCCTATGTTTTATGCCTTCCTTTTTGGAAGTTGGCAACCCTTCTTAATTCACCTTCACATGCGGTCTTCGGCTTGGTTTTTGCAATTCGTCGTTTCGTCACATCAACGGTATTGAACCGCGCACGTTTCGATTAGCAACGGTCAGAAGGCAATGCTTCCATATACATACAATGACACTTGCTCGTCCTCGGAATCTACAGCTTACACAACGACACCCGAGGGAATTTTGCATATTAATGCCAACTGCGCATGATCACTGCCCCCGAGTTACTCTTAATACTCTTCTGTAATAGTTTATACTCGTGAATTAAACGTGATATAATCATTAAATTTCGAGAAAATGAATAAAATTGCGTATACTTAACTGAAACGTATGTAACGCATGTTCGAAAACTAATTATGACTTTACAACATTTAAGTGTAAATTGCCCGTGGTTAATCGATATCACCAACGACATCAGCTTGCTCAGTGAGCGCAGCTCAATTTGTTTTACAAATCTGACCGATATTGTATCGGAAGCCCCGTTTAAATTTTCGGAATATATATATATATATATATCTATATCTATTATATATATATTTCTTATATAATCTCGTTTTGGTATCAGTTATTCGTTTGGAAATTTCAATCTCTCGAGAGCACTCTGATGGACTGAAATATAACTCCGTATTTCTTTCGCAGGTTAGCTGGCTGCGTTTCTAAGGATGAGATCTCGAGTAGCAAACAATGTTCAACATGGGTCCAGCCTGCGTCTAGCTCGCCGACGTTCAGCCGACAAGCTCGCTTGGACCACTGGTACAAACGGTTCCAGCCTGTGGTACGGCAGAGCGGTACCATTCGCATCCTCGCTTTACATTATGGCAGCCTTCGGTCCAGCGTCCCGGTTCCAGATCAGCTGTATACACCGGTCTTCCAGTCACCTAAGCAGACTATAGACGTTCAGATTGCTCTTGGTATCGACATAGACTCAAGAGGCGTATTAAGGTAATGTGAAAAGCACTGAAGTTTCTTCCGTAACAGCATTCTTTAAACTATCTTCGTTTGGCGGGTGTTTTCATGTTGTTTGAGTTGTAGCACTTGCGTAGATGCATAATAAAAAGAAAATTTACTCATAATAGTTTTCTGGATCGTTGATTTTCAAGTGCATAATGCCCATGAAATTATATCAAAAGAAATCCTTTTTCTTTAATTTATATGTTCCATAACAATGTTTTTAAACATAACAAAATTAGGTTCAATAATTGCCAGTCTATTTGATAATTTTTGTAATAAAAAAGATTTGAAAGGACCGAATAATGGTCGGTTCTCCATTGGTATAGAGCGATTTTTATAAGAATGAGTCAAAGTTCGCTAGACACGTGAACATCACGTGTAATTAAGAGAAGTATTCCTCCGCCGGGGCTGCTGTTCAGACGTGTCCCTTCGTAGTGTTTGTTTACTGATCCCGTGAAGACATCACTATACAGCAATCTAAGAGTTTCGCTGACGACCGCGAGTCCGGGAAGTATTGAAATTTAATTACGTATGTGGAAAACTGTTAGAACATGCTCTCATATTCAGTAACAGAAAACTGACACGAATGTAAATAGAAAGAAAAATGTTTCTTCAGGGTACGTTTAAATACTTTTCTGGTCGTTTACAGCAAATGGCTCATGCATTTTTGTAGCGAAGAGGATAGTTTATTTATAATTATAACACTCCTACTATCAATATTTAGTACTATGTTCTCATAACTCAAATGTAACTTAATTGTTTTGTGTAACTAATGTTCTGAATGATAATGCATTCCTTAATCGTGAACAAGCAGGATGCCTTTGCGCACACTCTGGCTTTTCATGGTTCACAACTGTGTAACAGTTATATAAAAAAATATATAAAAAGCAAAGCAAGGAACCACGAAACCAACAACACAGCTCTCCACCTTACAACATAGAAGCCGGAAGCACGTGCCACCAGTACGCATCTCACATTCAAGACTCCGTTTTAAAATAAACATAATACTTATCACAGAAACTAAATTCAATGTAATGTTTATATAAAAAAAGAATTTTTACAGAAGATCACATAGCACTTCACTTGCTAATTTCAATTATTTCTTGTGGCGCACTACATTTTCGTCGGACGAATACATCACAAAACGAAGCGTCGAAGCCATTTACAAGTTAGCCAACTGCAAACGAACGAATGGAGGAAGAAGAGTCTAATAGCCTCAAGGAAACAACGACTGCAGAACCTTCAGTTGTGTTGCCAGCATTAGCTGTCAAAACGTTGCATTCCTTAAAAAATTGCTCTATACACTGACGTGGGACGCATCGAAGATTCACAATGCCGTTAAAAAACATTCACACCCTAACGTTAAAATGTTTCACGTGCTGAGTTCGCGAGCAGCCTTGTAGCTCTGGCAACCTGGTCCGTGTCTACGCTCTCGGTTTTTTTATACCTCCTTCACTTTTAACCTGACTGATTTTACTGACCTACACCAACGCCACATTGAATTAACTGTCTTTTGAATTGAATTGAACTGCATTAATTGTCTTTCTAGAGGGCGTTGCCTACACGTACACAATGAATAATGAAACGAACCATAATACCAACACGAAGTAATGAATTATAAAAAGGAACCATGCCACTGCCAACTTCCGATCAAACAATTACTCTTTCTTTAAATTCTGTTGTAACAATGAAATAAATTATAATTTACTAGTAAGTATAATTTTAAAACTCTTATTATATTGTCAACACTGGCAAACATTGGATAGCACTTAAATAGAATAACTACAATCTACAACTAATTCAAATCTCAATTAATTTGAATGCCTACTGTTTAATTAAATTGATATTTTTTTCATTAAATATTTCTAAACGTCCTAATTATTTCGGTTATGTTGGAAATTCAACAAGAGGAATAATATAATACCGAACACGGAAATAGTATTTGTTGAGGCTGGGAAATATTGCTTAGATGATTGGGAGAGCATTTGCAGAAACTGCGACGAGAAGTTCTGGGCGTCGGCTTCCTGTGTTCTCGTCAGACTAGAAGGTTTTGAAAAGATGACAATTGACAAGAATAACATCTTGCCATATGAATAATTAAGTATTGAAGAAATTATGGTTATCTTTTGAACGACAATAAACGTTCTCCTTACGAATTCTATTTGTCTTTCATGCTTTCTGCTTCTTATCGCGTCTCAGAGCGCGGGTAACGGAGACTGGATACCGGAGTTACTTGCCAACGTACGACCAACTTTCAATACGCCCAATACGCGTATTGCTTAGCTTCTTAACACGATTGCTACGAAACAGCTAGCGGCTCCAGATTCTCGAACAATGCGATCTCGTCATGTCTTATGTGAAAAAAATTGTATTTCGGGAAATTTCTTCAATATGCAGAGATTTGTTGCCGGCAGGCCAGGAGGTAGTGCGATCTACCGGTCGCTTTTGGAAGCAATTTGAAGGTTTATTTCAAAGAGTTTCATACAAAATAAATTTATCTCTAAGGCGCCAAGTTTGAAATGTATCATCTTTTCTCCTTAAATACCTTTTACCCTATGTCCCCCTCCTTCTAACCTATGTGCCAACAGTATATGTTTATGATATCCAATGACTGCATTCATTTAAAACATAGTGGCGAATAAAAATGTCTTTCAATGTCGCAACACGACTCGGCCGCTTTCCTGAAAACATGGAAAATTTTTGTTCGAGAAAAATCAGGGAATATTATTGCTCGGGAAAGTAGGAGAAAATGAGGAAATGTGTAGAAGAATCGTTAGAAGCCTGGTAAAAAAATCCGAGGCTTGTGAATCTAGATATTATTGTTTAAAAACATTTGTACAACATTACTATTTTAATTAGGCTCAATTTTTTGTCTGTTGAGAAAATATCGTTTAATTGTTCTTTCGCAAGGCGAAATCGTAGAGCTTATGGTATCAGGATGGCGTTGACATTTTCTTCGCAAATAGTGAAATTAAAAATCTTATCAGAAAATATACTTTTTAAATACTGGAAAAGCTGAACATTTGTTCTGAGAAATGAATGGCCAACCTGAAAAGAGTATTTTTTTAAAATTTATTTATTCCGGCTTTTTCTGTGTGTTAAGTTCATACAACATCATCCTAAATTAACAGAGGGCGTTGGTTCATACAACAACACACCAATAATCCCTGATGATTATTAAAAGAAATAATTCGTAGCTATAAGGGATTGGAAGAATAATTAAGAATTAATTCAAATTATTTTCATGAACTTGTAATGGTTTCTCTTGCACTGAAAATTTAGCCTGTCTACAAATGTGATATGGTCTGTGGGGATCATCTAAATTGAATCGTTTATTTCAGAAACCCGTCAAACTCCTAATTCGGAGAAAACAGAAAATGTGTGCCAGTTTATCCGATTTCAAAATATTTTTATATATTTAAGCAGTAAATAAATGATTATTTTTCATATAAATATACACTAAACTATGTGTATATCCTCTTGGGACAATAATCCGCCAGCAATGCTTCTATTACATTTTGGCGTTTGAAGGATTTCTGAAATAAACGATTCAATTGTCCCGGGAAGATAATTTACATTCTTGTATACCTTATAAGCAAGAATTGTAAATTTAAATTATTTTTATACTTTGACCAAGAAATGTATATTTAATAAAAAATGTGCTTCTTTTTTAAATAACAAGTAACGCTCACACAATATTTTCTCTTTAGAAATGGTGAATCCTGTATGGTCGGCAATGTCCGCACTGCCCACCACGTGCCACACTAGCCATCCTAGATGCGCCATTGGATCTATTGGTATCACGAGCTCTGATCGGTAGCAGCCAGGAATTTGACGCATTGCAGAACAGCTCGCAGTGTTACCAGTCAGCCACTAAAGGTAATCTCTATTTCCATTTTATTTGAACTCTGTAAAGCAATAGCTCTGCACGTAGTTACTACCCTGTAACCAAAAATGAATCAACAAATTATAATGTAGTTAGCTGCCATTGCCGCTGCTATCTCTCGATGAAAAACTAACGGAGCCACAAAATGCACTGTTTAAGGGAAAATATAGGTGACACGGAAATGATGGATCAGCACAGATTTACAGAATTCAGATCCATACAAAGGATTTATTTTTCTCAGCAAGAGAACAATAAAAATGATATGCTACAAAACGCCACAGCCTTTTCCGTACTACAGTCTACTTTATAGTGAACTTCTGAGGACTAACATGTTTGGTTCACTACATATCCGATGATGTCAAAATTAAATCGAATTTCTTCATAACGTTTGATTGTATTAGTATAGTGATCCAGCAAAATACATTAACAGCATGAACTGAAAATTTAATTACATTGTTCGTAAAAAGTCAATTATTTGCGTTTGTTTGCTTCGTGCTTTTTCATTAATAATTTCTCTACATCCTTCTCCACAGTTCCTGCTCCCTCCATACTCGATTTTCCATTGTCCTCTGTGTCTAAGTAAAGTAATGTATTCTTGACACCCTTCAATGCATCTTGCACTGTGGGAACTCAGTACTACTCCGAAGGGCCATTTACTCGCCTAATGCTTTAGGCAGCGGGATGGCGCAAACGGTTAACGAAACCGAACGCTTTTCCGCGCGGCACGGCGGTTATCGCCTGGCTGTAGCAGTCGCGTGCATCCTGTCGCCTACGTAGAACTCTACGCGCTTCATCCCGCGGAATAACAAGTCACACCAGGATTGAAACTGAAGCAAGCAGTTGCCCGTCGCCGCCGCCAGTTATAGCCCACGCAGGACGCGACCTTTGTTTCCGCAGTGAAACTGAGTGGTGTAAGGTCATTAATAAGGTGCGCATTCCCGGGTCCGCTACCTTCACCTCAGGGGAGGCTTCTCCGAATAAGACCTTTCGGGCAACGCTATTTTTCTTCAAACTGGCTAGTATTGGGATTTGTGGAGCTGAGACGATGTATTCTTCTACAGGAAGGAATTAATTTCTAGGACGTTGTAATACCTACATTCACTATAGCCGAGGTTTAGGGTCACTATAACCGAATCTTCTTATACTTATTTGTAATGTAAGTGAAACGGGACCAGTGACTTAAGTTCACTATAATCGAAGGTTCACCACATCCGAGTTCACATTAACCGGAGTCGACTCTATTTTTTTGGGGGGGGGCACTGCCCCCCCCCCCCATCTCTTTCCTGCCTGCCATCTATCGCCGCCTAATGGACCAACTAGGGATTGTCGCAGTGACTACATCTCTCCTGGGGACAATTCCCAGTGAAGAGCTTCCGCGTGCTCCCCCAATGAAACACCCCAATGTAACCCCGTGGCACCCCCTCCGTGTTTCGTTGACTGATGTTTTTCGGGCTATTGCAATGGTCATTAGTGCCGTTAGTGTAATTAATGTTTTATTCCGGGGTGACGCCCCCCCCGCTGGATGTTGAGATCCTCAGCGACCTACACGTCGGATTGCGGGGCATTTCCCTGAACAGGTATCTCCCCCATCGGGGCACCGCCTCAGCCGGGACAAGCTTTTGACCCATTTGGTAGTGTGGTGTGATGCTTGTAAGTGTTTGTGTGCGTGTTCGTGTGTGTGTCATGGGAGAGGACAGGGCAAGGAAATTGGAGGAAAGCACGCGCGCGCTCCTTTGACTGTTCGACATTCTCCTGGTATGGATAGGAGAAACCATGGAATATTACCGATCAGAGCTACTGGCCGCTAGAATTCTCCTCCAGACAGCGGATGAATTCGATCAGGCTATTAAGAGCGGGAATGTTAGCTGAGCTTGACTCAGCCTGTAATCTGTTCTTGACCTATTATTCTGGGTGTAGCAATCCAGTTGTTGAATTACTTCCTGCCAGATTGTTTACGGATCTCAAAATTATTGTCCAGTGCAACGAGATACGGAATTATTAGGGTCAAGTGGCACTGGGGATGCCCCCACTCCTGAAACACAAATGAAATGTCTCCTTTCTTAAGGCGGCTCCACGCATGCGGCATTGGGCGAATCCCGAGCTACCGCTCGCCGACTCCTGGGTAGTTGTAGCTGGGTACTGTTGCTGTTGCGTTTTCTATTGTTTCCCGGTTTGGTTTAGTACGAGAACAGATCGGTTGAAGCGGGATTATGTGAAAATAGGTCAAAAATACATCAAATAGGTTCTGGAAGAAGTATTTTCTCGGTGCAGAAACCTACATGAAACCGCCATCAAAGCTCTTATTTACAAGTTAAAGAATAACAAAAGGTATTAGAAAACGAGTGCGAAAAGCGATAAGATCTCACGAAAAAGAAACGTCTGCATAACTGTGTATTTCAAAATTATATTTTTAACTTTTAACACTCGTAACCTTAAATATCAAGCGAGAAGTACACGGTTAGGTGTGCATCTCAAGAAGATGAGCAAAAATAAGTTTTTCAACGCTGTAGAAAATAATGATACAATAACACAAGAAATATAGAACTGACCGGTCCGCTCACGCTTCTGTTCCATGCAGCTCGAGAGTCTTCAGGTGTCGTCCATAAATTACGTAATGCTAAACAGGGAGGAGTGGATTTGAGGCTGTGTTACATAGGGGTAGGGGGTATTAGTTCCGTGTTACGTAATATTGATATCTTTTTGGACATTTTTCAACATTTCCTGAAACTTCATTTTTCCGAGTCTTGTTCTAAAATATTAATTGATTAATATGTTTTAAAAACATAAATTGGAGTTGATATATGTAAATTGTTACAAAAAGGTGAAATAAATCTTACAAAGAATATTCGCAAGATTACGAAGAGAATATTCGAAACTGATATGAAGTATATTTTACATCTATGTAGTATATTTGTTATTTATTTAAGTCGGCACAGTACTCTCACTTATACATCATCCACGACGCCCTGTGCATGGCTTGTAATAAAAAAAACAAATTAACTATCGCTTCCGTCACTCACAACTTGCCACCAATGTTACTATTAGGTGCAGTCAGCATTGCCAATTAATTTCTACTTTATTATCATGTATTTTATTATACAACACAAGTAAAATTAATACAAATTTTTTTCCGCGCTATAATTCATTTTCACTTATTGCATTTTCAAAAGGACGTTGTTGCAAGCGTTACATAATTATTTAGGAGCGGTTCAAGGGCGTGTTCGGATGCGTTACAGGAGGAGAGAGAGTATTCAAAATACTCCAAATTTGCGTTACGTAATTTAGGGAAAGTTTCTTAGTTACAGCATTTTATTAATTCGCCGTAACGCTGTCAGAAATAGTCTGTGATGCATTTCCTTCAGTAGTGCATTTCCTTCAGTAACATTGCAATTTCAACCACAGAGATAATGCTCTAAAAATGTTCTCCTACATGACTAAGTTCTGCATCCGATCATTTCTCTTATCAGTTTTGTGAAAGGATGCAGTATGACAAGCTTTGTTTAATCCGGCAAGTTCTTTTAGATATTGTCGTACACTTCCTTGTAGGACATCTTCGAAATTTTATGAAAAATGTCAGGAAATTGTTTCTTTACATTTTTGTTATACTAGATCCAAGTATGCTATTAAAAACGAATCCCCATTTTTAGTGTGCTCTCAGGAATTTCGAAAATTGCAAACGTTTAATTTTTTTACACTTCCCTACATGTACATTATTGAAGATGGATGTGATTATTCTTAATAAAATTTGTTTTTAAAAACTTTTATATCTTTAATAATGTATTGCAAAATTGTTTCAAAATGGGAATAGTTTTCATGTAATTTTTAGTGAAATTTTGAAAATTTAGCTAGAGATAATATTATTATACATACTCTAGTATTATTGTTCATGGTTATGTAATATAATATTGCAACTTGTAAACTACTAATACTTACGCGACTACTTGCAAAACCTATCTTGATATTTTCAAAATGACAAAGTTTAAATGAAAATTACTGTCTTGCAATGAAATGAATGTATTGTGCAATGCTCTTTTTAAAAATTTTAAAATATATTTACTCAGCCTGGGCTGTGCATCTGAACTCCAACTGAAAACATTTGTACCTAAGGCAGTTTTGGAACACACTGCTCTTGTCTGCAAACTTTGGCACACGTACTTGTACCTCTGGAGCTACAAAGTTGGCCAATTGAATTATTTGTCTATGTGTTTTTTACTACTAATTTAACTACTAACTTTCTTGATTTTTTTTAATGTCCTTTAAATATTTTTGAAGCCACCCTTACCCAACAAAAATATTTCCTGGAACTGCCATTCATGGATCCTAATGTGCGATTTCTTTTCCAGTTTTTGCCAGGACTTACAATGAACGGGTGCCCGGGCTCAAATCTTCAATCACAGCCCTGGGTTCGCACGGGAAGTTCTCAGTTAGAGAGTCAAGCACGCGATCTACCACATCCGTGGGTCTCCAGATGAGGTTTTTACTGTTTTCCTTTGTTGGTGGGAGGAACCTCCTGCATTCTCAGATCATCCAATGATAACACCACTCCCATGGTGGTCTGATGAAATTCCAATGTTATTTCAAAGCACCCTGCATCTTTGAAAATGTGTCCTTTGTAAATTTTCATTACCCAGAGATCAAACAAATATAAGCTTTCTTCAAAATATTCAGAAATGTGAAACTCACAATCGATAAACCATCATTTATGAACGGTTTACTTGAATGAAATATCTACTCTCTGGTTGAACATACCTCAGCAATGTGTACAACATTGGCTGCTGGAGAAGATTTTTATCTATCATTTCTCATCAACATTGCAAAGCAAATGATAAATACAAATTACATAGTATTTTGTAGGATACAAAAAAAAAACATACATTTGAACACTTGGTTTCTTACATCTTATTAACTCTTTATCTCTACCTGTTTATCCTTACATCTTACGTTTTAGATTTTGTTTAATGTATATCATGTTATTCAGTTGTACCATGATCACAATCATTTATTTAATACCAGAAGAAATAATTTCCTAAACAACTATCTGTGCCATATAAGAAACTCAATGCACACAGTCATTTAATAAACTTTATTGAATTCTAAAAATTAGTTCCAACTGAATATTCAAAAACTTTTGATATTCCTTCTAATCAGAATCCTGAAGATTGCTGAAAGATAAAATTTATTTTAAACACTGTCAATATGGAACACACCACAACCAATGGACTAGTGATGAATGATGCAGCAATTGAAAAAATATTAGCAGTTGAAATATTTTTAACTAAGAAAGATGCAATGTCACACACTGATGTATTTTGTAGCTTATTGTCATTTTTTCTTGTTGTGTATCAATTAGCTTTTAGTACAATCAGTCACATTGAGCAATTAAAAAGATGTCTACCAATTAAAATAGAAAAGTTTCCATTTAATAAATCTTCACCATATCTACCCTCACAGTTGTACAACATGTTAATCTTTTGTGTTCTAAAATTTCAAGTGTGAAATAACATTAAAGGGCTCAACCCTATAGTTATCAGATTTATGATCAAAGTAGCACATGAATGGCAAGGGTTCTTTAAGGACCAGAGTTCTTAAAGGTACTAATCAAGCACCAATCATCACTTGAACCAATGAACAGAAATCGTTCACTTTCAAACCTATTTCTTATCCTTCCTATATCTTCCTATCCCTTTCAAACCTTTCAATTTCCAATTTACTCCCCCCACACACACACACACACACATTGGAAATGTTTCACTAACCCATGCACTCCCCATTTCATTCACCTTCTTCCCTATAATTCATCTCCTCAGTTTTTGTATTTCTATGTGGTCACAACTCTAGATGCTTTGTAACATGGAACAATATTTATAGAGTTTGGGAAGTATTCAGCTATCTTTAATAAACTTGTAATTATTCTTTTTTCAATTTACATTTGTGGAACGATAAAGTAAGAATCTTATATTTACATAAGTTTAGTCAATCCAATCATTTTCATGTTATTGTGGGAGGTAAATCTGAATTTGTGGTTTATTTTGGTACAGTTTTTACTGTTTTTTGACTAAATAAATCTAAATCTTAAGTCTTTCAACAAGCATATGCCTTTTAAAAAATAAGTTGCTCTCTTTAGAAATAAATATTGTTCCATGAATAACCTTTTTTGGCAACTATAAATTTTGTGAATGTACGTAAAGGAGGCAAGTAAATTAATATTTTTATGTCATTTATTTATAATTTCATTAATGTGAACTTTTTAAATGATAAAATAAATATATTTATTTTGTATGTTGAGTATGCTTTTTCTTAATTTCTTCTTTCAAGACAATTTAGTACCCTTAGCACATGTACCTTAATAGTCTTTGTTCAAAGGGACTTATGCATTCAGATTTATCTGGGGTTAAAGCTCTCCCAATAATGTAATGCAGTCCACATCCCTTCAATTCTCTTCATGTAATGCATCCCTTCATTTATCCATGTAATGCAGTCCTCATTCCTCCATTACCTGCACGTACGTATAAGTCATTATATGTCACGTCTCGTCGCAGTCAGTTGTCAAGAGGACAGCCAGGTAGCATCGCCTGGACTTTTGCATATTAGTTAGTGGCTTAGTTATTTACTATTTATTTAAGAATCTGAATTTAGAAAGTTCCAGACAATGCAGTAAGTATTTAAGATAAAAGACTTCTGCATTAATTTTAAAAGTCTTGGAGGGATATAGAGTTTTTGAAGGTTTTCTTTGACGTATTTTTCTATCAGGCTAGTACTGGAGATAATTATTGGGACGAAGAATACTTAGTCCTGTTTCCATTGATCTTTGATTTGATGTGACAGATCGTTGTACTTCCTAATATTTTTCTAGAATGTTTTTTGCATGTTCCTGTAGGAAGAAAGGGACTGCAATATAAGGTTCATAATAATAATAATAATAATAATAATAATAATAATAATAATAATAATAATAATAATGACTCATGAAATGCACTATGGATAGTAAAAACTCAATTGTGCAGTAAAAATTAGGTTAAAGCCATAAATATTAAAATATAATATATAAATATTACTCGCGCAACTTCTCTTGAACGATGGATTGAAGAAATGCGGGTAGAGTGGGGGTATTAGTTACGAAATCGGCCACTAGATTTTATGAAGCAATGTCAATCTCTGGAGAATCAGTCATGCCTTCGCAACTTTCTCAATAATTTGTGTTCTAATTTTCTCAGGAGTTTGAGGTATTTTCTGTGATGAATCTTCACCTGTTTTGGTCATTTATTTAAATCTTTTGGAGAAAATCACGGTCTGAAGTTCTCATCTTGAACGGAAAATTGTTTCTATTTCGCGCCAGTGAAGATGTGTTTGTAATGTTGTCATCAGTGCACGCTGCGAGCTTTTGTCTTCAACTGTTTATTGTGTCAGAGAGGGGGAAGCAATATCGTTGAAGAAAAGTTGCGCGAGTAATACTTTCGCAATTCCATTACTTACTTGGGATGATAAGAAGGGATTCTGGAACTCAAGAAAACGTGCGCAGATAATCTTCTCCCTCATACGTCACATACAGTGTTTACTGTTTTTTTGAATAAATAAATCTAAATCTACTAATTCTTTTGGTCTCATTAAATGGTGAACTACAGGTCTGGAAGACCTGTCAAGAATTATCAGAACGCAACTGACAGAATACTGTAGGAGACATCCCAATGCAGTAATAGAGCATGTCTATCTTCCTACATCCGTGGGAGGAATGGGTATAACCAACATAGCGCGTTTCTATAAGAATCAAATCGACGATCTGAGGCCGTATTTCTATAAAAAAAAAATACCTCGATATGTTCCGAGTTGTTTGCAAAGCTGACATAGAAGCAACACTTCTGCGGCTTTCAGACTGCCATTATGCCGTACAATGCAAATCAGTAGATGACCAAAAAGCACAATGAAAATCGAAAGCACTACATGGAACACATGCTAACCAACTGGTAAATGATAAGTGTTGGAGAACAGTGTTGCCAGATGTGTTTAGAGAGATTCCGCCAAGTACGTTTCGGTTTCCGCCGAAAATCCGCTGAATTGGTTTTAAATTTCCCGCCTAAATCCGCTAAACGTAAAATAAATTATTTTTCCATATTTAAATGTTGTATTAATATATTCTATTAAAACAAAAATGTGATTGCGAAATATAGTGGCTTTATTGAACCTGTAATTCAATTTTTAGATAGTATAGAATGCATTACTTGGGTGAAAATTTGCAAAATAATAACAATTGATTTCAGGTAGTATATAATTTATTGTATTAGTATTATATAAATTATTCTTGCTAGTAACATGGAGTTAGAAATTTTCAAAATATACATCTGTGCGAGACAACCTATTAATAGAGGTTAACGAAAACTGATGCTTTACTAATTTTACGGCTTTACAAACTTTATTAATTCCCGCCGTTTATTCCGCTGTCCGCGAAACTCTTTTTTTTTTTTCGCCGTACGAGTTCAAAATACGCTGAAAACGGCGGGAATTCCGCCGATATGGCAACACTGATGAAGAAGTAACTTTGACTTAAGAAAGGAACTCTTTGGAGAAACGTCTGGATTCATGATGTCCATTCAAGATAGAGTATTGCCAACCAAAAACTACAGAAAATTCATTAAAGAAGAAACAATCTCTGATGACAAATGTCGCAAGTATAAAGCTGTCACTGAGACTATTGAACGAGTACGGAATATAAAGAGACGCAACAAGCTTTTACACCAACATTTAGCAGAAAATGACACCAAAAACAAATGCAGTTCCATACTACGAATATGGCTGTCATTGAAAACAACCACATAAAACTAAATTGGGACCATGAAATTAGATTGTCACTCTCCCAGCAAATCGTCCTGATATTCTGCTGTTGGACCAAAGGAAAGAAGTTCACATAATTGATGTGGCAATTCCACTCACTAACATTAGCACTACATACAGTACAAAAATAACAAAATACAGAAACCTAGCTGACGAATTTAAAAACTCTGGAAAATAAAGAAAGTCACTATTCGACCCTTAATAATCTCTAACACAAGAATACCCCAATCTACCATATCTCAATTGAAAGTACTGGATGCAGCAGAAACAATAATTATGATACAGAAGTCGGTGATTCTGGTCACGTGGCATTTAGTGAGAAAACTCATGGGTGAAGAACTAGAACATGAAAGTGAACTACACCATGATTTTAGTGAACTAGATCATGAACAAAGTCGAAAATAGAATTAAAAATTAATTTTTTATGTATTTTATAGTTGTAGCTGTATATATTTTCTAATTTGTTTTTCCTAAAATGTCTACAAATGTAAAATGTAATATAAGTACTGGTAATGTTATATTAGAAATAATTAATTACCTAAGCTCATGTACAAATAAGTAATTGAGAACTAATAAATAATAATAATAATAATAATAATAATAATAATAATAATAATAATAATAATAATAATAATAATTGCTATTATTACTCGTAAAGGACTTGCAATTGCTGAACAGTTTACTTACAGTAGCCCGTCTCTTATCTAGTACTGCTAAAACTTCATTAATAAAGGACTTCAGCGCCCGGCGGAGCTGGAGGAGAGGGCGGAGGCAGCGCTCGCAAGGGCGCTGAGACCACCCGCCCCGCGCATCCTGCGCGAGACCGGCAAAGCGGCGAACAGCGGCGTGCACAGGGCCTTCCACAGAAGAAAGGGCCCACAGCACGTCGCCTTCACCTTCTGCGCACTGCCCCCCGTCACAAGCTCTCTCAGCTCTGCGACGCGGGGGAGCAGCAAGTGCGTGGCAGAGGATCGCCGCTCACGGATGCAGGAAGCCGAGCGGGCGGCCAGCGTCGCCCGCTATTGAAGACGTCGAGGCGCCACGGACGCTTGAGTGAAGTCGGCGCCTCAATGCGTGTGGCGAATTAAAAAAAGCAGTGTACAGTGTAGTGTTGTGTTGTGCGAGTGTGTGAATGAATGTGTTGTAAACATAGTTTAATAGTAAATGAGAGAGTGAACGTTTAAAAAAAATGAAGAAAACTCGAACATTTTTAATAACTTTATATAATATCATAAAAAAATTGTAAAACCTAGAATAGGCCCAAAGCGGCAATTGTATTAGTTAGTAAGCTAGATTGTAAGATAGTATGTTTAAGATACAGCCCTATTCCCAGCTGCAAAAGCCTAAACGGCTGCAGCTATTAATGTACCCGATTCTGAAAATAAATTCCCTTTGTTGAGTCTTGAATGTGAGATTTGTACTCGTGACGGTGTACGTGTTTCCGGCATCTGCGCTGTGTGGCGACCTGTGTTTGGGAGCTTTTCGTGATTTTTTGTATGATTGTAACACGACTGTTAACCATGAGAAGCCAGAGTGGGTGCAAAGTGCATCCTCCTTGTTCACGCCAGCGACAAGAAGACATTATATCCGTTGCGAGGAAAATAGAACAAGGAAACTGCTGAATTCGTTAACTTATTTGAAAGTGAATAAAATAATATTGTTATTGTTATTTTTATTATTATTCACTGGTGCCCCAGTGTAATAGAATTAACAATTCCACCCATTTGGTCAAAGTGCTACATAAATAATCTCGTGGAAATTACACACATATATATGTATCTTTAGAGGACATTTTTAATACCAATCCCATTTATTCTTTTAACATCATGGAGATATGGTCGAGATTTAGTATTTAAAATATTTAATCGAAAAGTGAATGCTTGTAAAGGAAACAACTCTCAAGAAAATTTAGTAAAGACTTTAATTGTAGATCAAGGCATGAATTGAAAAGCATAACATTAGTGAAATATAAAACAATCATTAAAACACATTTGAGTTATGAGAGCATAGTACCAAGATTTGATTGTCGGGGTGTTATAATTATAAATAAACCACCCTCTTCACTACAAAAGTGGATGAGCCATTTGCTGTGAAACGTCCAGAAAAGGTATTTGAACGTCCCCTGAAAAATCAATTTTCTTTTTTATTTACATTCGTGGCAGTTTTTTTTATTGAATGTGAGATCACGCTAAGACATTTTACCGCATTTGTAAATAAATTTCGATATTTCCCAGACTCGCGTACGTGCATATAAGCGAAACTCAGCCATCTCTATAGTGATGTCTTCGCGTGAGCCGTAAACAAACACTACGAAGGGGCGTAACTAAACAGCTGACGCGGCGGAGGGATACTTCTCTGAAGTACACGCGATGTTCACTTGTTTCGCGAACTGTCACTTTATCCCATTCTTCAGAAAATCGTTCTAT